GCAATAAAGTAAAAATACGAGAAATAAAGGATCGAGCGATTGTTTTACGGTTATAGAGTTTAAAATGCTCTCTTCCAATAAGTTCGTCAGTTGCATGACGTGTTGAAAACAGAGGTTTTGCTCTTCGCTTTCTTTTTTTTTAAGCAGTAAAAGTCAATTAGACTTCGATTCATTCTTCACTAAGCGGGAAATAGTTGCACAAACAGTAGCAAATTGTGGCGAGATCTTTGTCTACATCAGGATCAGTAATGACCTCATAAATAAATCAAAATTTTAATAAACCTACAAGGCTGATTAATCAGTCTAAATGTTCTTTTTGACAACTCTTTGATTTTGTCACAAGTATTATTTAGACCATAGTAGAATTCTACTTGAACGCTAATGCAAATGCTGCAACATGATTGGCTGAATGATCGTGCGCTGTCATCCATTAGTGTGCAGTGGCTGGATGTCGTCTACGAAATGGCGACGGTTTTCTTTTTTTTTCGTTTTTCCAAAGTTTTGGAGGAATGTTTTGATGCAACTGGTAAATGAATTCCTGACATGACTGAAAGAAGGACATTTACGGTTTCTCGACTATAAAAATACTTGGAATCGTTGAAAAAATGATACGCACACGCACACAACTGCAATTTCAAATGACAATCCAATCCGAGCGATTTTTCTCTTCTAAGGTTCGAAGTTTAACAATACGTCGAGAAATAATTGGAAACCGTTATTTGAAGTAAATTTCAGGTAGACTTCTACTAAAACAATTAGATTAATTGCTCTCATTCTCGATCTTCTATCATGCACATCGTAGAAATCTCGAGCTTATAATCGAATTGTTAAGTAGGAGTTAGGAAAACTAATAGAACATCGAGCTAAAACTGGTTGCCACTGCTGTATGCCCATAAAACTATACATTCATCTCCGATAAAACAGATTGAGAAACATTTCATAAAACAGCGACTGTTGGGAATAAATGAAAATGACTTGCATCATCGATTAGCTAATTACCGATGATGGTGCAATAGCTTGTAAAGTCACCGGCAATGATAGATTCTAATTTTAGTTTCTGTCGACGTGGTATTTACCTTTTTCATTCAGACGACGTGTGGTTAGTTTTCTTTATTGAACTGTACATTCACTACTTGTTTTGTCTGATGCAATGACCGTGAAATCGATAGTGTAGGTATATTTGTAATTGTTTCTTGAATGAATTACACTGAAGTGCAGCTCTGTGAGTTCTTGGTCTGCCCGAATTCCAGTTGCATCAGGTCCCCGGCATTTAGAAGTTACGGATTTCTACCCTCAAGCAAGTCAAACGAGTTGCTCGGAGTTACATGTAATTTTACCCTAGTTGTTTAAATTAACTTTTCTCAAGTCCCGTTAACATTTTCCTTTCCAAACAACGTCGCCGTGTACTGCCGTGGTGCCATTTTACCAGTTTTTATTGCTTTCTCTCGGAACAGAAGGGCTTGGGAAATCAGCTGATAAGCTGTGATCCATCTATCTTTTAAAGAAAAATTGATTTTGTGTTCCGTTATCCCAAACGGAATTTACCGCGAAATCACAATATATTATGCAGGCCTAAGCCGCTGAAGGTCATTGTTGTGGTCGCTTGGAACCAAAACTTCCGCTTAGCGTGTTCTGAACAATCAATGTCATTTATGCACCTTTGTACTTACGCATCACAGATCGCAGGTGTTATTTGAACCCGTTTGATTGACAGTTCCTTCCGCTCTCGGAAATTTTGAGTGAGTGTTACACAGAATTGCTCGCGTCCACACCGCCGGATACTCTACACCTTCTTGTCATTTGTAGCATCCACCCATACATTTACAGATAGCGTTTCGCTGCATTGCACTAACCAAGTTCTCAAGAATGTTCAGGAACCTGAGAAGTCCAGTTGCAGACGGCGAGGTCGAACTGGTCGACGATGGGGATTCAGTGGGCATAAAATACCGACTTCGACGTCATTGCAGCAAATGTCGCCTGTTTGTTCTTGCCCTTGTACTTCTCTTCCTGGCTGGTGTTATATTTGCCGTTGTTTTTATTGTTACTAAGACGTCCAGTTCTGAAGGTATGTGACTTTGGAAATTTAATGATCTGTGGAAACACCTGTGCATGAAACATCAAAAGAAAATTCAATGCTATGTGCACTTGCCGGGACATCTATTAGGGCCCACACCACCTTCTTAAGCTAACGGTTTACTATATCTGGTCCTTAATGCAAATGGTACAGCCAACTCATTCGTAACTTGAAGAGCGAGAGAGACAGGGAAGTGTCTAGGTATGCTTTTCAAACATCCGGGCTTCCTTGACATTTTAATTGATCATTGTTTGATTCAAAAATCTAATCCAGTCATTTCATTCTAAACACTGTCGGTGGCACAGTCAAGACTGAAATTTCTTTGAGTTTGTGTTGGACTTTTCTGTGACAAAAAGTTAAAGCGATGATACTAAACTCTCTAAATACCGTGCTTAATTGTGTCTCGAATTACGCGAGGAATAAAAATCAAGGAAAAACTTAGGAAGTGATAACAGCAGTTGTGTTGTATAGGAGCGGAGTCAGCGGACTGTGCGAGTCTTTTTTTCCTTTATTGCATCAGATAACTAAGGTTTCGAACCTTTCAATCCTGTTGATTGCTAACTGCATGGCCTGTTTAGGTTTTGCATCTTGACACAAATTATGGTTGTCTGCGGCACATGGAAAGTTAGTCATGCGCGACACGGCAGTAGTTTTAATTCAAGGGAAAGCGATAATTGGTGTTATTATACATTGAACTCACCGAGGAGC